TTCTACCTGATAAGGTCTAACGTGCACTCGTCGATTTTAACAAGATGATCACCTTTTATTCTCGTTTTGTCATTGTTCTTTATGACAGCTTCGTCATTTTCAACCCGGCGAATGCATTTTCTGACTGAAATGTAAACAAAGACACCTTCACAAACCATTATAACACGCTGGATCGTATACAATCACGATAACGCCGTCTTTCACACTCAGACTGTATTCCATGAACCGTGATTACGCACTACTCAGTTGTCTTTTAATTCATAATAAATGCCGTCCATTGGTTGCTAAGTATTACAGTCACTGACCTCATTTGGAGCAAATAGCACGATAGGAAGTGCACTACCAGACACCCCAACGAAAGTAGGTTATCTGAGGTCTTTTCCTATCCAGAAGGGTTGTGGAATTCGCAGCACATAAACCGATCGCGACTACCTAACAACAGGCCACTAGTCTCATTGCCAACAGAGAATAACAACAGTCCAGGGATAGGTGTCTCACTAAGTACTCCAGACGAGCACAACTCTCTGAATCAAAATATTACCTTAAATTACTCTTTACTGACTAAACAACCCTGTTCTAAAATCACGATATCCGCAAAGAAATCAGTCCATGATTTGCTCGTCGATGGAATACATCCAGGCTACCCAGTCCAAAGCTGGCGGATTTACAATTGAAGCCGTCATTTAGCCTTAAACTGGCCCGTGAGGCAGTGAAAAAAGTAATTCATGGGAATCCGGAGTCTGATCTTACATCCTTTCGTCGGTTGTCACAGGTGCCCAATAGATCTCAGATCCCGATAACCCAGGCCGCAAGAAGAGAAGTACGGATGTTTTAGCCAAATTCCTTAAATGAACTGCTAATACTTCATCAGGCAGATCAGAGCTTTTCGTTTTCACTTTAGTAGGGAAAACCGCCACGGAAGACAGCGATAAGGCTTCCATAGCGTAGTGTTTGAGACGCTGAGTCAAAAAGTAGCATTTTGCAAAAGCTAACGTCCCAAACACACACAATCCCTGAAAACAGTGAGGCTTCATCAACCAGGTAATTCACTAAGTCAGAAACAATGCCGAGCAGCATTTTCAGCTGCGGTTCATTCGCCTGCTTTATTCCAAAGAGGTCAGATCCGGATAGCTTCGACAATGAAAAAATGCACAGAGCGCTTTCTTCAAACCAGATGGATTCAGGAAGATGCCAGCGACTACGATACGGTTGAGAGATTAAGGGAAATGTAAGCTGAGTAATAAAAGTCGTTGAGCGTAACCATTCTCCGAATTCCACACGGTTCGGCTGACCTGATTTCAGCATCGCAACCCAGCGAAAAAATTGGACATGTGGAAAGAAACACCGGACGGCTCACGTGGTATACGAGAATAACTACGTGGGTTTGAAGATAACCATTCTTATTTTCGTTATAACCTACGTGCGATCTGATACGCCCGATGAGATTAGCTGTAAAACGCGTAGGACCAGCCTATGCCGCTTGTCGCTCCAAGTTTGCCTGATGTTGATATCGGAAAACTGGGCAGAAGGTCAACAACTCCGATGGTTGTCACATAAGTCCTGAATCCATAACTGGTTTCCATCGAAGATTGGTAAGTCTTGGGACAAATGCTTTCTGCACCACCGAGTCGCATGTGGAGTAAAATCGTGTATTGTTTTTGTGTCGATTGCGTTGGAAGAACTGGGGGGTCATGGACTTACACTACGTAGACGGTCTGTGTTCATTCACCGGAATGGAACGAGTATGCATTCAGCAGTAGCCCAAAAAGGACAATAAATGTTGCAGTTGCTGACGGCGGCCAACCGCTTTCATCACCGGTTATCAAGGTGTACAAACTACCAAGTTGAGTACACTTTAAAACGATTCCATTAATGCTCATTCAGGGGAGACTAGCACTACGTGGAGTCGATGGAACCCGATACATCGGTCGATTCATGTCAACCCGTTTCTGTTCTTCGAAGAATAATGATCCAAAGACGCTATACTCAACAGAGTTCGTTGGACACTCCTGAATTCGCATATATATA